TGAACCAGCAACCTTCCGATCACAGGCTCACCTTTTCTTAGTATTGATAAAGTTATGTGGATATTATTCTAAGTATAGTATAGTATAGTCTAATATTAGTAGCATTGTTTTTTTATGGTTTTTTTTTTTGTTTTCTTTCTTGCAACTTTAAAACAAATGGTTAAAGTAGCTTAATGTAAAATGTGGTCCAGTAAAATAAACTCTCACTGTTGTTTTGGAGGAACCGCTCTCTTTAGCTCCTGGTGCTCGTCTTGGCCGGTTTAGCATACCAGCCTTTATTCCTGCTCGTCACAGGGGGACAACGTCATCAGGCTGCACACAGAGTCGAGACAAACGGGGAAAGGCAGGAAATCGGACGACTGCATCCAGACAGAGACATGGCAGTGTTTATCCTGCATTTCTTACCTCCATGGCTGTGAGTCAAACGTAGAGGGAGACATTGGGAGGTGGTGGAGGCCTTCATTAAATGCAGCACAGGCCCTGGTGAAACCCTGGCTAATGTCCCTATCATCTCTGGAGTGGACCGGCGTCGAGCTCTCTGTCCAAATGATTCATGTTTAATGCATCTCTGCAGTCCTTGTCATTTAACCTCACCTCTGGAGGTTGTGGAGCCAGGCTGGGTTAGCGAAAGCTCCCACAAGAGCCACGAGGGGCAGAGCGGCCATTCAGTTACTCTGCGCCCGCTCTCTGTTTGCACGTTTTGCCTATTGCTGCTCGGTCTTCCCGCAGCAGAACCGCCGCATCAAACTGCCATGGCCTGAACTGGAGGGTGGTCCGGGCTGAGTACGTGTCTCTCTGAGGCACTTTGTTACTGCACTCTCCGTGCACCACGGTTGAATGCTTAAGCAGGGAAGCACTGATGCGATGCTGAGAGACTTCGCAGTTTACTCCTTTAGCGAGAGCTTTGGTTAAAAAAAAAAAAAATCCTTTCTGCTGAAACTGAAAACTGTCAAACTCCATGAACCTTTTGTCAAACAGAATAAGCTTTTGGTTGGAGCTGACAACGCGGGAGTTTTTTTTAAATCTCACTTTGAGCTGAGGTTGCTTGGATTTGAAAATGTGATTGTGAAACAGTTTGATAATGAATGCACCGCAGCGGCTTTCAGTTCAAGTTAAATGTTTGTAATGTGACTGGATGTCCTGTTTCCTGTTTTTAGGCCGATAAAAGCCGAGTTACAACAAGCTAATGATTCATGGAGATACATCTGTAGCACAAATGAAGCTGTGAAACTCACTCCTCCCCTCCCTTACGTACACACACCCACTCAGGCTCCGTGTCGCTGTCTTGCTCTGAATAATGGTAATTAGAACATCACCATGGTTGGAATTTGGCAAAAGTTGAAGAGGAAATAGGTTTTCTAATGAAAAGCTGCCTCTTAGCTGGAATCTTGATGCTTACTTGGCTGGAAAATGCTCTTCTGTGATGAGGACCTTTATGGATGCCAGACTGTCCTGAAGGCCAGCTCGTCTCTCTCCATCCATCCCAGCTGAAGGGGATCAAACTGACAGGGACACTTTACATTTTTTTTTATTTGAAAGACTGATTTTTTTATATTATTTTGTAGACAAAACAAATAATTGAAACTAGGGATGCACAATATTGGATTTTTGGCCGATAACCGATATATTTTTAGATGCAGTACTTTCCTTGGTCAGAACATATTCCTCTTATTTAGGCTAATTTTCTACAAAAAATGTGTAGCAGCTGGTGACATCTATTCAGTAACAACCATATGCATAGCACTTTAACTTATATTAAATGAAAATTATTAAATGTTATTTATTAGCATTAGTCACCTGTGATGCTGTCTCACTTGAGGAGGTTTGTTCCAGGTTCCTATAGCTGCAGTGATGGATCCTCTGCACTCCATGAAGGACAGACTTTTTAAGTTCAAAGTTTTTGTCTATCCATTGTGTCGTAAGGCTAATCATGCTAACGGGGCTAACGCGACATCCAAAGGTCTGTGGTAAAACTTACCCAAGTGCTATCAGCTATTAGCTTCTCGGTGACGTCAGAAATAACGGCTTGTAACTCGGGTAAGGCTACGACGGAAAAATATCTCTGACTGGGGACGATGTAGCGAGGCTCATAGTCCAAATATCTTCAGAATCCAACATCCTCAACAACAACAAAAATTCCACACCGCTGACATTTTGACTTCTTCCTCTCCGCCGTGATCAGAATAGGTAGGCACGCGTGATGTCATCACGTTGTGCTGGCGCTGAAGGCGTCCTTGTTACTGGGTTGTCATACAAAAACAGCGTCTTTTATCTCGGTGTTATTTTGATGGAATGGCCGATGTCCGATATTTAACTTTAACGCTAAGATCGTCCGATACCGATACCATGCCGATAATATTGTGCATCCCTAATTGAAACAAACATTGGAAAAGTCATTTTGATATAACAATAATTTGGGCAAATTCACTTTTTAAGATACCGCAAATAATGCTGGTCTGACGTTGGTTGTCATGGAGATTTTTTTTTTTAATTTTTTTTTCATTTAGCCTTTATTTATACAGGTAGTCTCATTGAGACACAAAAACTTTCAAGAGAGACCTGTTTTAGGGAGCAGATGGGGGTTAAGGGCCTTGCTCAAGGGTCCAGAGTAAGGTGAATGAGGGTGGGGGCAGGTGCGGGTGCTTCACCTACCCCACCCACATTTTTGATGTTGTCGGTACCGGGAGTTGAACCGGTGATCTTCCGATCACAGGCCCACCTTCTCTAGCCTCTGCCCCACCGCTCCCTCTAAAGAAATGGATCCGTTAGCGTTTTTAACTTAAGATTACTTTGAAGTTTAGTTTTCTATGACTACAAACATTAAAAAAAACTTTAATAGTTTTAAATTAAGGTATAGGTAAACCTTTAATCCTTATGTAGAAAGTGATCATTTAAAAATCTGTTCAACACAAATGTTAGATGTAACAATTATAAAATGTACAATATGTTTGGTGTTGAGCAGAAACGTCTGAAACGTGTTTATTTTAAATAAAGCATTTCATCGTGTTTTATAAATCTTTACAAAAATAAAAAAAATTTTGACGCTCTGTTCTTCAGGGACTCGCCACAGCGAGAGAACTCACGTGAAATATTCGGCGATTGTTTTACGCTGAAAGCCCTTGCTCACGCAAACTGAGTTCGAACCCGCAACCTCAGGAATGTAAGACCCTGTCACTGTCCACCAAGTTACTGCAGCCCTGCGGACCTTTGTCTGAATTTAAAATGTTTTTAGACGTTTTTAAAGAAATCTACAGCTAACACTAAATAAAATGCTTGATTTAACTGGTTTATGCCTGGCTTTGTTTTAAATGTATTTATTTTAACTTGCAGAAGATTAGATGTGAAACTGAATATTTATCTCCTTAATAACAATATAAAGACATTTTGGTTTGCTTACGATCTTAATTGTGACACAAAGATTGCCGACGAGTAATCTAGACTTTTTTTTTTTCCCAACTCAAAAAACAGAAAGGACCCCTCAGATACTGATGAATCTCACAAATCACCGTGTTTTAAAGCCTAATTAATACGTAGAACAACAATTATGTGTTTTTTAATGGGAGATTATGTGCTGGATTTTTCCTTGGCTTAGAGGAAGGACTTCCTGGAGTCTTCTGGTTGCCTGGCAACCAGACTGAACTGTGTCCTTGTTTCTGAATGTAGCTCCATTTACGTCTGAACCCCCAAACTAAATGTTATTAGCTTTATTAAACATCATTTTCTTTTGAAAGGCTGTTATGTATATATATATATATATATATATATATACCATATTTTTTTTTTGCCGTATAAGTCGCACCTTTTTGCATAATTTTGCAAGTCCTGCGACTTATACACCGAAGCGACTAATACACGTTTTTTCCTCCATGTTTATAACCAACTTTTGGCTGAGATCTATGGGGGCCGAGATGGTGTAGAGGCAGGGCAGCCGGCTTGGGACCCGAAAGTCCCAGGTTCGATCCCCAGTCACTGCACATCACGTGGCGTCTCTGGGCAGCACGTCTCATCCCCAAAATGTCCCCCGGGCGCTTTCAATAGCTGCCCACTGCACCACCTGGTGGTGGATGGGTTAAATGCAGAGACTAATTTCGCCATTGTATGGAAACATACAGTGCTGACATTGTGATGACATTATTATTATTATTATCTGACAATTTAATTCATTCTGACATGAAAAATATTAAGCATTACCATCTTCAGCCGCTAGAGGGGCCTAGAGAATTATGGCAAGCAAAGTGTCTCATTAATAGGTAAAAGTGGATATTAATGAGACACTTTGCTTGCCATACAGAGCCACCTTCGTCTCGCTCCAGAACTCCTGGAGCAAACGTCAAATCAGCTGTTTCACTGCGCCGCCCAGGCGAAATGCAGCTGATTTGACCATTAAAGTGCATTTATTAAGGAAAAGTTCAACTGAGACGCAGCTTTGCTTTAATATTGAGCAAACAAGCAATTGCTTTTAAGTGCTAAACTTGTTAAATTCTTGTTAAAGTCCTCCTGTGCACGCTCCCGCAGTCGCCATTTTGGCAGTCAGTCTATTTTTGGCACAACACGGACCCACATTTCCGAGTGGTCAGCGGCGACGCATAATAGATGTGACCTATAGGGCGGAAAATACGGTATCTGGATGGATGGATGTAAAAACATAAAGAAAGATTTGTTTTCAGTGAAAACGTTGAACGAACATATTTGTGGTTGGTTTTCGCCGTTTTCAGTTCACAACATCGGAGTTTAATATTTAACTTGTTTGAAATTCGACTTACTTTGTTTGTTTTTTGAATTCCTTCAGTCAGCTGTTTTTTTATTCGTCTTTCCTGGTCAAACTGCATGAAAAGCTTTTTTTTTAATTGCATTCTTGTTTTTTTCTGGTGTTTTACTTCTATGTTTTGACAAAATATGGACAGTCAACTTTAAATGGGTTAATTAAATACTAATTCTCCTTTTTTGTTTGTTTGTTTGTTTGTTTGTTTTCCCTTTACTTCCCTCGTCCTCCAACCCAGGAGCTGCACAAGACCCAGGTAAGCTTTTCCTGCACGTTTCCTGTTTCCTGCTCACCACTTCCTTCCTCCGTGTTTCAGCCTTCAGACTGTTTGAAACATTCTTCTTCAAGTCTTTGCGAGCTCGATGTGTCCAGTCGTCTGCACTTACAACATCTACACTTTTCTCTGCTTTACTCTATTGTTCCAGGTCTAATGTTGCTGTCATTGATCCTGATTTATTTTCACTTTTCTGCACAAGTTCTAACTGATTAACGATACATAACAACTTAACGGATCAGGATATGCGTCCTTACACATTGTTGATTGTATTAAAATTGCATCATTATTTAGATTGTATGCAACACGAGTTTGAAGTAAACTCTATTCTTCGTTCCATCAGCGCTTTATTTCAGCTTTTCTTTAAATAAGTAGTTGGTGTGCAGCTGTGATTTCATTTTAAGACAGAAAAATTCCACTTTTCCAATAAAACTGAACGGTGTACTCCTTAAATCTTTATGCTGCCGCTCTAAATGCCTGCACTTGCCTCCTCCTCCTCCTGTCTTTTTTTGACAAGTTTTTTTCTTATCCAATTAGCCATGCCAGTGACAGTTACTTAAATGTGCACGAATAAGAAGTGAGGAGCAAGAGATCCTCCCTGGGGGCTGATTGGACAGAACGCAGTCGTGCAAAGGTGTGTTCTCGGTCACCACTGAGCGACTGATCACCATCGAGACAGTGGCTGAAACTGCACTTCTAAGGACAGTCGACGTCTTTCCTGTCAGAAAAACAAATGAATGCCCAGTTTTTTGTATCCGCAAAAAGTTGAAAAAACTCGTTTCATGTTTCAGTTTTGTTTCATCCTCTAAATATTTTTGTGAAACCGTACCCAATGAAGACGTTTTGAGAGAGCCTAATTGGGACACTTTAATAAACCGTCTCATCACTGTTCAGGTTGATGTCAGATCTGTGTTTCACTGTGCGGACTGAAACGAGGAGTGAGCCAAAAGGGCTGTATAACCTGCCAAATCACTCTTTTGAACTCTTTGCCAATAACTACAGGAACTTCAGACGGGTGGAGAAAGTAATGCTAGTACTGCCAGCACATCCCTTTTAAAGGTTTAACCACATATTTTAATTGTGTTGTTAGTAGATATAAACATATTGGTTAAATTGTCAGAAGCAGTTTTTAGGATTCACATTATTGTTAATCTAATAATTCAGTCCAGAAATGTACATTAAGATGGTTGTTCACGTAGTGTAGATAGTGAATCAGGTAAGAAATGGACTCGTGTTCCATATGGCTGCTTTAGGCTTTAATAAATGTAGGATTGTTTTCATCATTGATGTCACTTGAGATTAAGTACTTTTTTAATTTGTAATACAGTAGTCCCTCGCTACTTCGCAGTTTGACTTTCACAGACTCGCTCTTGCACGTTTTTTCAAAGTAATATTAGACTTGACAAACAATTGGCAGATTGATTGATGAGCCACACTATCAGCATGGATTTTTATTTATTTATAATAAATTATTTTGAATTATTTAGCACCTGCTGCACCTGTGTGCAGCCCACAAGTGCAGGGAGAACCTTCTCCACAGTGGAGAAGGGGGTGTGGCCGAGAGCACTGGCAGGTGGCAGAGAGAGCAGACATCGTGACATTCTGTGCTCTTTTAGAGTGTTTAAGGTTTAGAAATATTGTTTAGAATATTGCATTAGCATGGGAAGGGTTTAAAATGCCTTTTAATATATATATATTTATTTATTAGTCCCTCGCTCCTTTGCGGTTTGTTTTTCACAGATTCGCTATATCGCGGATTTTCAAAGTAAGATTGGGAAATGACACAATTGGCTAATTGATGGATGAGCCATGGGCTGTTTATTTTAAATAAATTATTATAAACAATTTTGCTCTGTGTGTAAAGCCCACAAGTGAAGGGGAAGTTCCCTCCTGCAGCTAATCAGCTGATCGCCTTCTCTGCACGCACACACATTTCTCCTGCAGCAGACATGTGAAGGGTTAACCGTGTGCTGTCCAGATGCACCGATCGACTTTTGTCTTCCAACGTAACATTCAAACTATGTCACGTCGTAAAATCGTCATAATCACAAAATATATAAGTGTTAACAGTTACTTTTAATTATTTTAGAACTTCTATGTTCAGTTGTTTCTGTATAATTGATCAAAAATTAAATTTGTGCTCCGTGCTGCTGCTGAGTTAAGGGTTAACCTTTTTTTTTTTAATTCAGCCTTTATTTAGACATCACTTCTCTTCTCTACAATTTAAATTTAAATATTCTTAACATTTGCATCTGCGTGTGTATATACTGTATATATATATATATATATATATATATATATATATATATATATATATGCATGCACACACAGTGTATCCAAAAAATATCCACTTACTTAAATGTGATTTCTTAGTTTTCTACTTTTAATAAGTGTGCATAAATTAAAAAAAATAATCAAATCATCATAATGGGGTATTGCGAGTAGAGTTTTGAGGAAAGAGATGAATTTAATACAGTTTGGAATAAGACTGTAACATAAGGTCATTTTGACCTCCTGGACAAAGGAGTCTTCAACAAATGACAATAAGCCGCTATTTTTAAAACCTTTACAGACTTGTGCTGTGCTTGAATCGTTAAATAAACCATCTATGAAAGTTTGCTGCAGTTCAACGTACTTACCAGAGATGAAGCATTATTAGAAAGTACTGAGACTGTTTGTGTCATTTCTCTCATCAAAACAAAATAATATAAAAGATTTTGAAAAGGAAAGGTCCCATCGTTTCTGTTCCTGACCTGACAACAGACCATGTGTTGTTTCTCCTGCATGTCTTGTGTGTTTGTTCTCTGTGCCAATCAATAGAATTGAGGACGTGACGGGACGGAGGTGGGCTCTGAGATGCAGCAGTTAAACACAAGGACTCTTATCCGTGTGTGCACAGGCAGGCTCTTTAAATGCACACGAGCGTACGTTTGTGCGCGCGCAGCCCGCTCACGAGCGTACACGGGCTCCAGCTCAGATTAATGACTGAATCAATCACACGCATACAGTGTTTGCTTGTCGTCCTGTATGCTTTTCTTTTACAACACAGGTTCAATTTCCAAAGCTACTGGAGCTCTATCAGCATTTTTGCAGAATATGTATTCAGCAAGGTCATCTCTTACTACACCAAGAAATATGTCAGCCTCTGGGAGGTGTCTCTGCGATTGAATTGTCAATATTCACTATAGTCTATTGCATTGCAATCTGCATTTGTCAATACGCGAGCTGCTTAGATCCCCGCGCTGAGATGAGAACGCCGCTCGTTTGTAAATAGGTTGTGTGTTTTTTTTTGTTGCTTGCATCGACTTCTGTCGGTGTATTTATTCAGGTAATAGCTGGATGAGGACTAAATCTTATTAAACAATTCGAGTTGTAAAGTAAATTTCTTGAAGATATTGTCACCCGCCACTGAAGTTGAAGCCAAAATGCTTGTGCTCATGTTTCTGGGTGTCTTTGTTCGAACCACTAGCAAAATATTTCATGAGACACTAAACAAATTTAAACAAGCGGTACGACGATGCCCCCCCCCCCCCCCAAAAAAAAAAATTGCTGTAGGATGTGAATAGTGAATGTTGGTAGTATTTGACGTGAGTGTTTTTCTGGACTGTAATTAAACAGGTCTTTCCTACTGTTACAAGATGCACGAGTGGTGTTGAGTTGCATCGTGTTTAAGAACAGATGTAGTTTCTGGCACAGAGTGACGCATCCAGACAAGTGGACGGAGCTTTTTTATCCACTACATGGTGCAATGGCAGAGCCAGGAGGTGGCTAATGGTTGCCTTGGCTACCATAAATAAATCTTTGGCCACCGCCCCAGACTCTCTAAACATTTAAGGACACTATACCTTTAAAACCCAGCAAAGGTAAGTCAGGTCCTCTGGACGGCTTCTTTGTGTTGAAATGTTCCGTCTTTCATCCAAAAGACTTCATCAGTGTGAGGAGCCACATCAAACCAGTTGGCCCACTATGTGATCGTGCTGCTTATGGGACTGAGTTTGGTGTGGCTCCTCAGACTGATGTATTATTTTGGATGAAGGATGAAACGTTTCAACACAAAGAAACCGACCAGAGGAACTTGACTTAACTTTGGATTTTTTACCTGGATTATTGAGCATTAGAGCTGTCCTTTTTAACCCGGGCCCGAAGCCCGGCCACGCCCAATCTGAATTTGAGGTGGGCCGGGCCATAATAATATGCTGGCTGGGCGGGCCAGGTTGGTGTCAGGCTTTTGATTGCAGCAGCAAATCGCCCGCGATCCAATTATATGGCAACATGGCTTGCCATAAAATCCAAATATATGGCAGTTTGGATCTATAATTACTGTTAATTCATTGGGTCGGGTGGGGTTCGAAAATTATGGCTACGGGCTTTGGCCGGGTCAGATCAGATTTTTTGGGGTCCAATGCAACTCTACTGAGCATGAACTTTGATATTCCTTTAAGCAGTACAAAAACTAGAAAGTATAGTAAGTCATCTGGCCAGTTTACACACACATAGACACACACACACACGTGTTTTTATATCTTCATAGGGACTTTGCAGTGACTTCCATTCATTTTTATAGCTAACCCTGACCCTTACCCTAAACCTTACCACTTTAGTTGCTTAATTACCAGTTAATTTTGCCAGTCAATTAGCTAATTACCAGTACATACCTAACCCTAAACCTAGGGTCAAGTCCATTAAAGATGGTCTCCACAACCTCGTGACCTTACAAACACGGCCATAACTCAGTCAGTTTAACAGATTCTTCCTCGGTACATTCCCTGAGCATCAACACGTCTTCTAAGATGCGGCTGTAGCGGCCATCTTGAATCATTACTCTTAAAGTAATATGAAGTACTTCAAATAAAGCTCAGCCTTTTCCATTATATGTTAATGTAGAAAAACCGAACAAGTCGAATGTGTATTCCAGCAGAATTACAGGAGGAGAAAGTGAATACAATTAAATCAAAGTCTTGCTTTCACTATAAAAAGTTATG